CAGAAAAAGAGTTGGTTAGTAAATTAGGGAAAGAAAATAAAGTAGTAAAAATATAAGCAAAATTGAGTTTATTTTTTTACCTTTTCTTTTTTTTTTATGCTTTTGGTAATATTCTTTATCTATTTGTTGTTTAGATTTTGACTGGGTCTTATTATGCGAAATACTATCTAAAATAGTATTATTGGAGGTTGGTTGGGCTTTTTTAAGGCTTTTTACCATATGTATTTATTTAATTATTCCGATTATTCCGAGCAAGTAATAAATAAATAAAGTTTTCGGTTCTTGTTCCATGATAATTATTAGTTGATTTTTGTCTTAATCTGTGCTTGCCGCAATAATATTTATTCTCGGTCTCTTTGCTTGCTGGTTTTAATAAGTTTACATCCAAGTAAAATTAACCCATTAATAGTGTTTTTGCTTACTTCTTATCAAATTTCCCTATCCGATAACAGTTAACTATACCAATAATATTGGTTTCATAATCATCAAAACACCAGATTAATTTATAGGCTTTATCACCAGTAAAAGTTATAAAAGAGTAGTAAGTTCAATGGTAATATCTATCTTCTTATCTTATTTCTTCTTCACCATCTAATTGCTTAACTAACTTATAAATCAACTCATCACTTATAATTTTTCTTTTGAGTGTAGGCAAAACTGTTATATCTCCCCAATTGTTTATAACGAGGATAATGAACTTCCCTTGCTTTTTTACCTAATTTTCTCAACTTCTCTTTTTTTTTAGTTTAAAATTGTATATAATCACCAAAATTTATTATAAATAATGGTATCAAAAGAACAAAAAGAAAAAAACCAAAAATACATTTTGGATAATTTGGATAAATATGTTCTTGATAGTCGGGGCAATTTTATTCATATTGATTTTACTATTTGTTGTGAAAATGAAGAAGATAAAAACTATGCCCTTATCGGTAAAGAATCGGTAAGCGATTGAGAAGAAATAATAAAAGTAATTACTTCAATGATTTTGCAAAATAAGGAGGATTGAGAAGTTGTTAATGACACAGGACATTATATAACAAATAAAAGGGATGGGAGGAAATTCAACGAGAGAGGTTTTGATATTAATAAAGGATACGGCTATAAAATAATAGGAGAATTAGGCTATCGAGAAGGAGCATGGAAAAATTATGAGAAGTATAAAGAGTGAGAAAAGTGATGGGAAGAGTATCAAGAAGAATTGAGGAAACAACGTCAACAAAGCCCAATTCCTAATCTGGATTCCAATCAACCACCTCACTCCCAAAATCCAACTCTCTCAATCAATAATCCTCCAACCCCAAACCAAGAACCAGCACCCCCACCAAGTCAAAACAATCCTTCTCCTAATCAAAATAAACAAGACCAACCAACCGAACCAACTAATAAAGATAACTCACCTACTCCATCAGCCCCTAACAATCCCCTCCCCTCCAATACCGATATCCAATCCCACTACCATTTAGATAAAGGCAAATCCATCGACAACAATCCTACTCTAACCACCCCCGAACAAAAAAACCAAACTAATCAACTCTTTTTCTGTTAACAATTCTTCTATTTTTCCTGCTTGATAATTAGATATTAATTTTAATTTTTTTTTCTTTA